TCAGCCTTCAGCAAAATAAGTGGGTTTTTACCCTCTGGTTAAAGACGCAAGGGATTATGGGGATGTGAAAGTCGAGAATGTACAATTGTTATTAKTATATCCTTGTGCTTTTGCTTCCCAGATTCGGTTCACTGTCAAAGGTGCCATCAAGTCTTCCGGTAATTACCTCATCCTCATGCACTACAAGCTAATTGACTTTTTGAAAGCACAAGGAAGAGTGCGCCTGGTATCAAATGGTACACCGCTGACCGTTGATATCGCCTTCACGTACTGCCCTGCAGTGGAAGGATGTCGTATCAAAGTACACAAATACGGTATGAGTGGCTTCTCCCTCACGCAAGGAATGGCGTCTATTATGATTGAGGTTTTACGTGAAATAAAAGTGGTAAGTGGAACAAGAAAAAAATTAAAATATGAGTAGTTTTTCTTGGTTCAATTGCAATGATTTTTTTACTAKAAACAGATTGGAATCAATCCTAAAATGGCACCATCTTGAATGAAATTTGCTACTAGCTTTGCTGTAATGCTTAGAGGACTAGAATAGACCTCTTTACCTTCGTATGCAAATTGCCCATTTCAGACCATGTGACATTCTCCTGAGAATTGTTCTCTTATGAGGAATATGAGAAAATATTTACACATGAAATAATCAACTCCCAAAAGTGGCATCACATGGTCTGAAATGGGACACCAAACAACGAAGGGAAAGAGGTGTTTTAGCAGACTCTTGAACCACGTTCCCTTCAATGGATTACGATCAGCGTAATTATCCTTTAGAAAATAAAAAAGGCGGTCATGTTTGWTGATGTTCATTTGCTGGTTTAATGTGAAATAACATTCTTTTAAWGGACGTACCTTTGTCACACGACGCCATGTTTATCCCCATGAGGGAAAAAGTTTTGTTTAACCWCGCGTAACCTCATTCTGAAGCGCTTGAATGCGARGCCACACGGTGGAAATCTATTCTTCCAGTCAACATGGCTGCCGCGTGAGAAAGATCTAYGCAATGCAATMWTKSAWCGTAATAAACTCATGAATATTCTGGTATATACTTTACTTTTGTGGTACTTATTCATTAGTTCATGTTAACCTATTCTTAGGTATACGTCCTTCTTGTTCCCGACAAAATGTACTCCCAAGACCTCTTCAAACCTCTCCCTCAGCATAAGGTCAACACGTTCCTTCAACGATGCAGCAAAAACCACTTCTACGTGGACCCAAAGAAAACACGTGACTTCGTTTGTCATGACGCAATCTTCACCATGACAACGTGGTTCGTGGGAGCTCCTTTTCAGTGTGACTGT